CCTCAAATGAAATATTTAAAATTAATTTAAATGTTAATAATTTAAATGGTAGGGGAAAAAATGGACGGTTCAAAAGAGTTGTACTGTACATCCAATTTGAATAAAGATATATTGATTTCTGATTTCATACTGCGAGCGGCCTTCTGTACCTCATCAAACCGATACGGGAGTACTACAATAGATAGTCGCTCGTCCAAAGATCGGCTCACTAGTTATTATAGTTAACTGCATTGTGGCAGCGCAGCATAGTCCCCTTCCCAAGGGTCGATTACATCCGACGTAGCCTTAAAGGCCCTTCCGACCAGTGGCAGCTACTACGAAGTGTGTTTTAGTCTGTAAGTATGACATACATAACCCTGCAACCGGCTGTAAGGTATCAATGAGTATTTCACCGCCGCCCGCCCACATGGGAGGAAACAAAAAAACATTGACCATGGTAAACTAACTGTAGGTAGGTACTCACCATTAGTAGGCTATCCGTAGTTGAAGTCGAAGCATGCAAACTAAAAACGAAGCAAAACGCACTTTTGGTTGACGAACACTTTACTTACAATACGTTAGCGTGGTTTAAGGTTTCCCATATAAACTCTCCTCCCTTTTCATCCCCTCAAGGATATTTTTTAGGATAAAACTATTCTAAGTTTGTCCTTTTTTGGGACTCAAACCATACCTATTACTAAATTTAATTTCAAACGGTTCAGTGGTTTAAGCCTGACGAGGAAACAGACAGGCAGACACACTTTCGCAATTATAATATCAAGTGCGGATTTATTCGTTTTGATATTTATTAAAAACACCATATAAATGAAAAACACATTATAATGTCCACTTTACTGTCTTAGAATTTTAGCATTAGATAATCCTCAAATTGTCACTTTTGGTTTATCAAAATTTGACAGTTTAAAAACAGTTCTAACTTCTTTCTAGCCAGGCTGTAACTAAAACAACTTCTTTTCGGTAGTGTTGTATTTCTATGTCTTTGTCTGATAGTCATTAAGATTTTTATTTGGCAATCAAACCTCAAGCAATCTGTAAAACGTCAAAGTTTTGTGTTGATACCTACGGATTTGTTTGTTGTTATGATTTCTTGCGGTTTTTTGTATTTAATCATGTCGAAAAGGGGTAAAACCTTACAAATACGGTAGAAAAGCACTACAGCGCGTGACAGCGCCCTCCAATCTAAATCCCATTCTCTTTCCGCACAGACTCTAATGTCTTTTATGTCCTGTGAGGTATATGTCAATAAATTATTATTATTATTCTATGGTTCCAAGGCTACACTGGGTAGGGAATTGGATTCATACTGGCAAGGTGAGGTGAAGATTCTCAAAGGCTCAAAAGTGATCCGCTTAAATTGTGGTGCATGACCACAATTCACTTTAGTCACAATTGGACATTCAAACACGCTGCATGTGCGCTCTATACAACAATATTGCGTATATTCTGTGTTATAAATATGAAACAATGCCTTCGCTGCTTTTATAAACAACACAAGATCAAATAACAAATTTCACGGCAAAACTTTTCATTCTTAAAATTATGAAAACATATTTGATCTCAAAAATCACGGTTTGACATGAATGTTATTATCTTTTTCGTCATTTGTCACTAAGAAAAGGACAACAATACAGCTCAGCCGTTTGTAGAGAGCGAAAAGAAAACGCAGTCGCCAATCCAAGCGACGCGGACTCGCCGTTTCGCTCGAGCTGCGTTAAAACGTACAATTCTGTCTCGCTTCCTAGATTGAATGTTTATTTCCAGAAGTGTGCGTGCATGAGAGTTGCATATGTAGTTGAGTCGGAGCATACAGATTTTATTTGATGGTAATATGAGCGTACCGTATCTTCCCTTTTTGTTTTAATCTAAGCCATAATAATATCACTGTCGATTACTATTAATAGTTTCAAAGTATTCATTACCTTACTGATACAATAGCATACGATAAATTAATAAATGTTATTTATAATCATAGTTGTTGCTCACCCACTCAGTGAGAGACTCACGTACTGGATCTACTAACGCCATCTAGCGAAGATCTGAACAAACATTCGAGTAAAGTGTGAAAGAATTTGCGCGCTAATTTTTTCATTTTAAGTCGAAGCGCATCGAAGCGTAAATCCAATTATTAACATAACAAATTCAACCTTATCTCCACAGCGGACTGCACACATTACTTGGGAGATTTAAAAAGACCCGCGCTCATTCGACGGATTTCGCGCGTCTGCGTGTAACCAACGCTGATTGGTGCGCGCGCATTCTCGTGAATCCGCACGCTCACTAACGAACCTACGCGTCACCAGTCGGAAATTGACCTGTGTTGATAGATCAATTGGCAAATGATGAAATAGCACTGCTGGCTGCTGCTGAAAAAAGCGTATTTGCTAGAATACGCATGTATTCGCACAAATACGCGCGCATTCGTACAACTTCACTTTAATTGTGAAAATATTTGCGCTTCGACTCTGCGCTAGTATAAATTGACCCTAATAGTCCAGGCAACGAAAAGGTATAGAGGGAATTGCTTAGAACACAATTTTTGACTTCGTGACTTTGTTAGGACTAGTTAGGAGGTAAACATATCAAAATTCCCCGCCCGTAGCCCTTAAGCCGGGGGGGGGGGGGGCTTGAAGGTCCCATTTTTAGGTTTTTCGCATATATCTCGAAAACTATGCATCCTAGCGACATGAGACTTTCACAAAAGTGAAAGCTGATTAAATTTGCTACAAGTCTTATTCAGTCAAATTTTTTGATATCTTGTATAGTTTTCCAGATATCCGCTCTTGAAAGTACGTAAGTAGTAAACAATGTCATTTTCTCCATCGGAACCCTGTAGGGAAATGGTCAGAGGATCCTCCTGTTCTTCTTCACCTTTGGAGTCAACTTGAGGGACCCTATTCAAGCAGTTCCACTGGCAATTTTGGCACGCTGGGGAACAGGAACGCAGGACACCCCCTTTAGTCAATACGTCTACTACCCTTTTTTTTATATGCAGGCAAAAAATACTATTTACAGACGACGGCGCCTTTAAGAGGCACACCGCCGAACGGACCTCACACCTGGCTCCCGCAAGCCTTACGAGCCCCAGCAGTGGCTGCCCACTGAGGACCCCGTAACCCTTACGGGCGCTTTACGGCATAATATCCGCTAAAAAACCCTGCGAACACCCTCTAAGCTGCTTAGTGCGAAGCCGCGGAATCCCCGTTTAGGGATTCTTCCGCGTCTCCGCACCTAGCAGCCTCCCGGCCTTGCCGAGGTTCCGCGGTAGGGGTCTCCCGGGGTATCGCGAGGACCCCACAGACGTGCGCAGGACGGCCCGCGCGTGGGGGCTGAGTACGCGGCCTAGTGCCCACCGTACCGCCCCCATACGTCTACTACACTAACAATTTTGTCCTTAAATAAAAAAAAAAGGCAATTGTTTCTATTATTGAAGATAATTTAATGCTCTACAACCCTACGGCCGGCATTTATTTTTTGGGTGCATTGTTGAAGAGTTATCCGGTCAAATAGAGCAAAAATGGGAACAATTTTTTTTTCCATAATTACAGACTTTCAAGAGCGGATATCTCGAAAACTATACAAGATATCAAAAAAATTGACTGAATAAGACTTGTAGCAAATTTAATCAGCTTTCACTTTTGTGAAAGTCTCATGTCGCTAGGATGCATAGTTTTCGAGATATATGCGAAAAACCTAAAAATGGGACCTTCAAGCCCCTCCCCGTCCTCAGAAACGTACGATTTGGACACGAGCAAAGTCTGCTGGCTAGCTGCCTAGCTTGCTGTATATCATAAATAGAAGACTGTTAATATTTTCATTGAGCCTTCAATCATAAGAACAAATACTATGACCCGATTTGAGACTAAACTTGTAAAAAGGAAATCATATCGTTAACAAAAATAAACATTCACTGGGAATCGAACCCAAACCCTTTAGAGCGTATATGGCCGTTTGTTGATTTTTTTTTTTGCTGCTCTAGACGTCCATCTCTATATAAGATGATTCAGCCCCTCTAGCATGATCACCAAAACGGGATATGATAAAGCGATATATCGACATTAACTGTCAGACTACTGTCAAACTCCATAGTAGTCTGACAGTTAATGTCGATATATCGCTTTATCATATCCCTTTTCGGTGGTCATGCTAGAGGGGCAGGTTTGGTAGAACTTCACAAAGGGCAAGGTTGCCCTCATACCTATATTAATCTGCCGCGCTCGAGTAAATCCAAAAATCCCCACTTGGGCTCCCCTAGTATCACCAAATTACTTGCCATCAATGCCATCTTGGTAATGGTTTCTTCTGACGTCCTTCTGCAATCCGCAATGTATAGTTGAATTACTTCCATGTAGTTATTGCTTCGTGATTTTTTATCAGAGTATAGTTGAGTAAATCCAAATTCCCCGCTTGGGCTACCCTACTATCACCAAGATGCTTACCATCAATGCCATCTTTGAATTTTTTTCTTCTGACGTCCTTCTGCAATCCGCACTGTATAGTTGATTTGCTACGTAATTGCTTATTGGAGTAAAGTTTTGAATTCGATATAGGTTACTTATCTTCTCTCACAAGACTGTGGCACGGAACAGGACACCAAGGTATAACATGAACCATTTGTATACTCACAGAAAGCGATTTTAATTTTCATTTTAAAAACATATTCTTAACTTCATGAAAACAAAACACCAAACGGACTTGACTTGAACAAAAATAAAAAAATAAACAGCTAATTTCTTCTAGCGAAAAGGAAGAGATTGCCAATAATTAACACTCCATTTAATTGACTAAAGTAAGATGTCGCAATTAATAAAGGAAAATAATATAATATTCAAATTCCCTCATAAAATTTCCACAAATTTATTTCATACCATCATCAAAATAACAAGTTCCTGCAATAATATAATGTAAGCAATATAAATATCACCTATAAAACAAATATATAATGAAAAAATAGGTATTAAAAGTCATTATCCTTTTGTAACATATCAATTTAATATGATTTCTATAATTAGTATATAATATAAACCGGAATCTTACACTGCAAAACATAGTGGAATTCTTCTGAAATGTTACTTTTTAAAACTAAATAATTATTATCAAAATGGGATGAAGGTATGAAAAACTGTTTATATTCGGTGTCGGTTTATTAAAAAAACGTTGAAATTCTTCTGTGATTCGGTCAATACCGGTGTTGGCCGGTTTTGAAGGAGGTCGGATTTAGTCCGACCTCTGACGTTATGTGGTTATGATGACTACTCGATGACCGTTTGTTCCTCTTTCACGAAAAATTCAACAACTTCCTCAACCGTATTCGCCTGGTCGGTGTCCAGACCGTCCGTATCCACATCTGTGAACAAAAGTAAGTACAAACGTTAATGTTAATGATTTAATGCAGACACTTCACAAATAGCAAACACGAATAACAAATTATTCGTGTTTGCTATTTGTAAACTTGAGAAATGTCTCTATTTTCACTCTCCATAGTGTGTTAAGGACAACCTGCTGTCAAAATGATTTATGACCACTCCCACATCCTTGTCACAGTAGGTCACATTTGCGAGACAAAGTTTTTAGTCTGAATCATTTATTTATAACATCTAGAGTAAATCTGAAGCATTCGGTAATTCCGCTCAGATCAGTCCGAACTAAATCTGTTTGCTCTGAGTATATTGACCAACGAGAAAGATTAATTTGGTCTGGTCAGTCTGTCATGTTGTGGCGTTGGTTTCTGTTTGAGGTTAGAAATTAGTCTACGTTCGATCCAGCAGTTCGGTAATAGCAATTTGGTCAGATTAAACTGTGACCACGTAACCAAAAATCCGTCGCCTCTGCAATGCAAATACCGAACGCAGCTTATGTTATCAACTAATGACTGTCAATCTAACGAGGATGGTTATCATGATGAGAATCGCCGTCTTTGTTACCAACTATATAAGGTAGCGGCAAACTTCCTGAACAAAACCACAAACAAATAAATTGCTACTGCACAGGCTTCTTTGTCTATGGTTGTTGCTCAAAAAATTTGCCAGAGTGTATGGTGATATTCATGTAGTCACAAATTCGCAAAGTTCTTGAGCAAAAAACAACGGAAAAATAAACTTACTCTCTAGATTTTTTGCAGTAAAAATTTATTGATTGATTTTTGAATTAAAATTGCTATTGCTTACCATGTTATATTATATAATTACAAATAAGACAACTGCTTGACTCAGAAATTTTATAATATCGACGTTTGGACAAGTATATATGTACTAAGGATGACAGACATAAGACTAACTACTCATATAACATTCCCGTTATTCAAAGGAATGTAAAACAAATCTATTTAATCACCAACTGTACTAACTGAAATAATTAGTTAGATACTTTATGTATAGAAGAGCATTAGGACAAGTCTATAAATTAAGTCTTTGTTAATTAATTACTGCGCAGGCTTCTGTGTCAATGGTTGTTGGGGGCCGTTAAGTATTACGTAAGCAGATTTATCACAATTATTTACGCCCCGTCCCCCCTTGCCAGCAAAAGTAAGAAAGCACTTACCTCCCCCCCTCCCATGCTTACGTAAACATTAGTACCTACTATTTTTTTAATTCTACCCAGCAACCCCGAAAATGCGTTTCGTTTTCAGGTATAGACAAAGTTTAAAGGAGTGAGGAATATGATGATATGCCTGTATTCTTGTACTCACAGTTCCGGAGCTCGAGCCGACGCGGCTTTTGCTCGCTCCACTCCACCACCTTCGACTCGCGGTACTCCACGTACTTCTTCATCTGTTCCGTACGTTTCGCTACCAGTTCCTACGGACACAACAACGAATTTCAATTAACATTAATCACTTGCTGCCACATACACTTATATATAATAGGAGTAACAGACAGCCCCCTATGCAGAGGATGTATGGGGGCAGAAGAAACGCCAAAGCATTTCATCATGGAATGCAGGAGTGTGGCCGACCAACGGGCACGACTTCTCCAGTCGCCAGCATCGCTTCCGGAAGCTTGCAGCAATCTAGGAAGGCTGCTTTCCTTCTGCTTTTCCTAGGCTGGCTGGAGTAAACGGGAATGTTTAAAGACACGGATAATGGTCCAATGATTAGGACTAAGTGCGGAAACCGCCCTGAAAAACTAAACTAAAACTAAATTTGCTGCCATAATAACAAATCTTCATGATTTTTCCTAATTATCTCCATAGGAATGAATATTCATCAAAAATAGATTCAGCAGTTTAGCTGTAATATATGTTATTTATTGTTATGATTTCACAACTAAATTGATGACTTACTATAACAAATAAAACTTCGCTGACTGGTCAAAATAAATGTTCCATAAATACAATTAGTACTGATTTCTAACCATTTGTAACTGTTACTAGCACAAGCTAAAAACCTATTTAAGAAACCCATTCCCATTCCTAATGCCACTGGTAGCAAATATGACTATTGCTACTGGTCACTGGAAACAACTTGTTTTTCTTTTGACCAACAAATATCTTGTGTACAATGAGAAGTGATGGTGCTGCATTGCAGCCTAAGAAATACTACAAGAAATTCGACACGGCCATTAAAGTCGCGGTAGATATGCGGGTTCGAGTCTCGCCTGCTTCCTGAACCGTGTGGATATTTTCTAGTAACATTTATTTAGATTGATTTAAACAAGTAGCAGTTATATGCTAAAATAACAAATTTTGTGCTTAATCGAAAATTGCAATTTACCTTGCTGGCCTTGCTGCTGCGCATGCGATCCTTAGATTCGAACTGCGAGTAGTATTTCTTGAGGTTCTTCTTGATCTCCTTCTGTTGTTTCTCCGACAGCAAAGTGACAGGACGAGGCCTCCAGTGGAACTGAGCGAAGCCTTCTTTCATCACCCTGTACGAATTTATTTCATTATGATGATGCCATTGAAACCTATATTGTTGATATTTTTTAACTCGTCAAGTATTTACAAAGGCTTAAAACAGACTTGGAAGATCTTCTTGATCTTCTTCTGCTGCTTCTCTAAGAGCAAAGTGACGAGGCGGGGGCGTCAGTAGAATTGAGTCAACCATTCATGCATCAAAACTTTATAGATTTTTGTAATTGGGAATATTAATATTAATTGGGAATAAATTCTGGTACACTGGAAACCTGAGTCAGTGGATGTTCTTTAATGTAAGAAATGCTATACTTTTAAGAAATAAAGGGGATAAGTAAATAATAGAGATAATGTACTTATTGATTAAACATAACAATAATAGATGTTGCGGTCAGCATTTGGAAAGACCAAGAATTAGCTGAATCGAAATTAAATCGTAACTCATTGTTTTGAAATTATTTGTTTATAACCTCAATCAAATATCTGTTTTGCTGTCACAGCATTCTTTAGGTAGAGATGTTACAAGACTGTTTATCGCAGAAAAACTTCCTATCAGCACTTAATGGAAAACTAAGAAATTGTGTACCAGCATGTTTGTAATTCAACACATTTTATTAAAAACTAGCGGCCGCCCGCGACTTCGTACGCGTGTAGTTAGTTATTTGCACATACTTTTTGGCCCCAAAAGGAGGTTTATTTCTAAAGATACATTATTAGTACACCATCTATAGAGCATACTTGTTAAATTTCAAGTCTCTTACTTCAAAAACATAGAACTTACATACTACTTTCATCCTTTCAAACTTCCAGCCCCCGTATTACCCCCTTAGGGGTGGAGTTTTGTGAAATTATGTAGCCTTTATGTTGACCCGACTTCTAAAGAATATTCATTCTAAATTTGAAGTAAATCCATACAGTACTTTTTGAGTTTATCCCGAATATACATTCAGACAAACAGACAAAAATTCTAAAAACTATATTTTTGGCTTCAGTATCGATTGTTGATCACACCCCAGGTATTCTTTTAAAAAAATATTCAATGTACAGTTTTGACTTTCCTACCATTTTATTATATGTATAGATTACCTTCTAATAATTTTTCCCTGGAACGACCAAATGTAGTAACCACAGTCCATCTTGCATTTAAGAGAAGAGACTCCAGTGACGACGTAGCGACCAGTAGGATCCCACTCAATGCCAGACATCTGTAAGAATATAAGAATTATAAAAAAAAACATGTAAAAACACATTAAATAAAATTAAATTTTTAACATCTAATAATGCTAGTTTAGCTACATAGTACATAATAAAGTATTAACAACATGCTAAGATTTTTAACATAAGTCAGAATTTAAGATTAATTAAAGGTGTAATTACAAACCTGATAATGATTAGCTACATTCATTATTGTAAAGTCATTGGTATCCAAAAACTCTAGAGCACCACCGGTGAGACCAAGATGCGCCAACACTATGAACTGGCCAGAAGGCGACCAGAAAAGATGGTTAAACGGCTTCCGTTCAAACTTCTTCAACAAAGTAGGGGCTTGACCAGTGTTGACTTGATAGAAACTAATGCAAATATTCGCTGGGTCGCCGTGAATGATGGAGAACTTTGAACCAACTGGCTCCCAAGCGAAAGCCTGAATCGGTTCCTTGATTTCTACAGAGTCTACGGGAATCTCTTTCTCTCTCATGTGGAATATCTCAAAGTTGTAGTACATTCCCGAGTATTTGATGTCATTCTTATCCTTTTTCACTTTAGAGTAACGATCTACTTTGACACATAGGTAGTCGCCACTTTTTTGCCAGTGGATCTTGCAGTCAGCCACAGAGAACAAGTTTTTAGAACGGATTTCAGTACGGTTTGGTAGTTCAAGGAGTGTCACACGAGCTGGGACATCTTTGTCCTCGGCCACCCAATAAGCTAAGGTATTATCTGTTGGAGACCAGCTAAAATCTCTGTAATTGATAAGAAAAAGATGTGTTTATATTTATTGCAGATTTAGTTTCCTTAAAGAATTTACTTGACATGAGTATTTGTGATTGCTATTTGATATTTTGTCAGCAAGTCATCAGCACTTTCCCTTATGCTAAAAACTTGATGTGGGATGAAAATAAAGAGCATTTTTTATTTAAATACATACATGTATTATTTTATTTATCGTCATAGTGACGTCATTATGTTTTTGGACATTAATAAATTTATTAGTAATTTGACTTCAGATTACTATGTATCCTCTGAAAAAATCTCAGACACAATTAGCTAATTTGTTAGCTTTTAATTTAGAAATTGTTACTAGTTCTTTTAAAACGGACATTAATACTTGTACTAATTCAAATCTATTGTTAAATTGTAATTCTACAATAAACTGCATAGATTTAAACTGAAGCATATGAAAAAAGTTAAGCCCGAACCCCAATGTTGTAATATTATTCACCAAAATATCCAGGGCTGGAGCAGCAAGGACTTAAGAATTAGAATTATTAGCAAAAAGTCATGAAACTTATATCATGTGCATAAATGAACACTGGCTGTAACAACATGAAATGTCATTTTATGAAAACAGTTTTCAACTATCAGTGCATTTGTACGCAAAACAGTTATTCATGGTCGGTCTTTAATTTTTGTAAAAGATCATGTAAAATATAAGCAAAGAAAGTCCTTTCTTACGGACAGTGTCCGTGTAAGCCTTTCAATGGAACGCCGCGCCGTATTGAGCTGTCGCGTGCACCTGCACCTTGGGCTTAATATATTAGACTAAGTAGTTTTACTTTGCCAATTTGGTTGAAAATTGTTTACTCGGCACTTCTAAATTTAAAACGACACTGTATGAAACAAAACAGGAAGAGAAAAAAATAGCCATTGCTGAATTTTTTGCCGGTTCTTCTCAGTACAAGGTTTCCCGCCATAGATTTACGAACCGATGGCGTAGCATTTCACTTTCACAAGAGCTTGTAACAGCCTAGAATCAATAAATGAGTTTGAATCTAAAGAAAAGTTTTACTAGAAAAAAAACCACGCAGACCAGGCAGCCGACGGGACTCGAACCCGCACCCTTCACCATCCGAGTGAATGCACTAATGCACCGTACGCTGCCTGGCCCGCGTGGACTTTTTTCTAGTAAAACTTTTCTTTAGATTTAATCATCTAGCAGTTAAATGCTTAAAAAATAAAAACATAACTAATTGAGTTAGAAGTTGTTCTTATCATACTCTATAGAGAATGCAAAAGGAATGACTTGTTATATTTACAAATAGCAAGTAAAAATAGCTACATTCAAGTGAAGCAGCAGAATTATAAACAGTCTATGCTTAAAGTATCATTACCTAATGCCAGGAATCTTGATAGATTTCTTGTCCAAGAGACCAAATCCTGGCGTCTCATACACGGAGAGTACATCAGCTCCCAGTCTAGCGAAGAACCTGTCGTCTTTACTCCAGCGGAATATTGGCCACGTCACATACTCATCAGGTGGTGGGAAACTACGCTTTTCTTGACCTGTTCTGTTAATGATGGGGTATTTTAAAAGAAATATTTCATTCAATCATAAATTGATCTTTGTGTATAATAAATTTTAACATTTCATTGGCCTTACACAATCTTTCTACATTTAGTCAAAATAGAAACATGTTACAAATGTAGGTAAATACATCATCAAAATCTAAAAATTATAAATATAATAGATAAAATACCTAATATCCCAAATAATTAACTTCTTATCATCCCCTCTGTCTCCACTGGGTGAGAATGTTACTATATAGTTTTCACATGGTGAGAATGAAATGAATCTAGCTTCAGGATGGAAGAACTTCTGGAACTGGGAGAACTTCGGCCCTGCCCATAAGGCAACGCCCCTCCAGTGGAAAGTGGCTAAATATGTGCCAAGTGGTGACCAGACTGCATAAGTTTCAGTCCAATTCTAAAATAAAGACAAAAAGTTTATATTACCCTTGGTTATTTTCACACATATGATGATAAAAGTGTAGTTCCCACTTTTAAATAATTATTCATATTTAATTATGTGTGGTTGTTATACTTGACCTCAAAAATGTATTTACTGCAAAACATACTTGTCAGTGATAAAAATGAGGTCACTTGTATTAAATAGTTGCAACCTAATGCATTTAATTCGAAAATATAATATCATAAAAGCTTTCGAAGTTATTCTACTAAATGATAGACTTATTAAGGTGATAAAGCTTCTAGAACTTGTACTTCAAAAATAAGACAGTAAGTACAGTAACTAATTTATATTCACTCAGCATCAACACCTTTCACTAAACAGTCAGTGGCAACAAGAGATTCTTTAACAATATAGGTATTTAAACCTCTAAAATAAGATTTATTTCAATTAGTTATCTTTAATAGAAAACCACAATTTAAAAATCTTAATATATTTAAATAAAAAAGATGATAAAAAAATTCGAAAAGTACATACCGGCCTCTCTTGCAACAAAGTTGGTTCCGGCAATGCATTTTGCCATACTTGCAAAGCAGTGCCAGTGCCAATACCGACAAGAAACTGATCATAGGCATCAGGGTCCATCAGATACCACTGTAGATCTGATTGAACCTTGAATGGTTGGGGTGCTGGTGGGTCCCATTCCTTAGGAATATCTGAATACCTGAAGATTAAGTACCAATGTCATGTAGGACATAAAAGAATATGAAGATATTCTTTGTAAATTCAGTAAACAAATCCTTATCCATAATGCCTTTATCTAGTTGAATATCAATTTAAGGTTAGCCTAAATATTTTCTATTGTAATTTCAAATCAACACTTGGTGGAGCAGACTTTCAATGTAAGATAAATTGAGAAAGTCTAGATCAATAAGTAATGTAAAATAGGTTTAGATTGTATTAAACAACCAAACTGGTTGTGCTTGGTGTTAGCGTAGGTTTGTCAAAACATTGTGCCTATATGCACAATGTTTTGTAGTGGAGTTAATGTGTAAATGAAGATATACATATGGAAGAACTAATTACCTAATGAATGTGAATATTAACTACAGGATATGTACTTCCAGATCTTAATTCTGGTTTAATTATTGAATCACATATCATAATTATGGTGTTAATGAAGAATTTACTAGGAAAATGCCTGTGACAAAATTTGAAAAATTATTTCTTTAGAGTAACGACAATAAAAAATAAGAAAGTAACTACTTACTTCTTGAAATCAGTGAATAAATTCACTAAAAACGTATGTTGCTTATCTAATTTACAATTATTAGTGGCTTTCACAGCCTCCGCTGCATTCTGTGGGTTACTATATTCCAGGAAAATGTAACCAGTTGTGACTCCAGTTTCGGTTGTGGGATAAAATTCATTGACGATCTTCCCAAATTTACTAAAGATCTTATTTATGACACTTTGCAACTTTTCTAGTCGCTCAGGCCCGACCTGCGGGCACCCATCCACCACGATTACATTCTCGTAACCGTCAGATTCTTTTGGCTTTTGCTCTAAAAGGTCGGCCAACAATTCTGCAACGTCAAAGTTAGGTTAGGTTATGTTTTGTTTAAATTGTTCAATTTGATAGTTCCAACAGAAATAAAGAACGCTTAGCACAAATACAATTTTATTGTATTAAAGAAAAAGTAATAACATCTAAAAGAATGCTAAAATTGCTGAGGTGACGCATATGGCCGGTCCAACCTCTAACATAGAAAAATGTATACCTTCGTCAGGAATGTCATCGACAGAACCTTCTGAATCGTCAAAATCGGGCTCCTCGTCAAAGTTTTGCTCTTCATTATCACTTTGGGGAACTGGGTTCACTTTTTCGTCACCTTTTTTCTTTGCCATTTTGACGATATAACGTGTGGTACCGGAAGACACGCCATTAGTGAACTATTAAACCATAGACTTTTTTTATAAGGTCCTTCCTTTTCACGAAAGACAAAAGTAACAATGCCCATACAGCCTAATCTTAAGTGTTATTAATCTTCTTTTTTTTACATTAGAATGTCAGTGTGACGCATTCTAATGTTCTTGGAGTGTTTGACACGACATTTATCTAGTTGGCTTTTTGAGCTTTTTCGATAAGCTTCTGTCTACAATAAAGTTATCACGTCCACTTGATCGGAATAGAGTATATATTAAAGATTCCACTATTTCTTCAGTGGCGCATACGGCTACGAATCACGAACGAATTTAAAAAGAATCTACATAAAATACTTTAATTTTCACTTTTTTTTCGTGAAGTGCCGAGGTAACTGCTGTCTGTTAAAGCGCCTACTGACATGCCTGCCGCAGGGACAATCTAGGGTGCACGGCGGTCGGGACAATATAGGCTTGTCTCTACACACATGCCTGCTATTCAGTGTTCGGGCGTATGTTGAGCTAAACACACGCGTTGATGATGGTCCCAGTGTTATCAAAAAATCTATTACCGTAAAAAACGAAATATTGGGTGAATGCCAACAGAAATAAATGTATTGTAAATAAGTAATGTTTATGTTATTAGAAAAAAATACACGCGGATCTGGCAGCAGACGGGACTCGAACCCGCACCCTTCGCTAACCGGGCAAATGCACTGATCAATGATGCTACCGCGGCCCTGACGGCCGTATCGAATTCTTTCTAGCCTTTTTTAGGCTGCAAGGCAGCGCCATCTCTTCACAATAAATGTAACCCACAATGTCAAATGAATACCTTTACAAGTATTAGACATTTATAAGAAAAAATAGCAATTAATGTCATAATTTAATTGTTTTAAGCATGTCAAGCTCAATGTTTAATTCTAAATAAAAAATTACAAGATAAAATTAAAAAAAAAATGGGTGCGTGTACTTATGTAGGCGCGTGAGAAGTTATCCTTCTTTGGCATCGTTTAAAATTAGTTTTTAATTGCATGCAAATAATTAATTACAATAAATTAATAAAAAGTCTGGAAAAGGACACAGTCAATAAAGTTCAGTTTTAATTTGAAAAAATAAATAAATAATCAAAATATTCAATTAAAATCGCTACTGAATATAATTTATTAGAACATATGTGATTTGCACTTGTATGAAACTCAAACACGTATTCCGAATATACAAACTAGAAACATGTGGATAAATATTATAAATATGAATACCTATAACTGTTACTTTATTACAAAAAATAAAGATGTGGTTTTTGGTTCTACTACACCAATGGTCAAGAGATGGCGCTGTAGTCTCCTGAATCGCGCTTTGGTTCCGTTGTTCCAGATTAAAAAATACTTTTGATAGGCCTTCACAATGCAGTCGTTAGCACCCACTAAATAGAGATTCTATTTCTATTTTGTTGGTAGATGCGGTAAACGCAAAAGTAACGCATTCGCTAGAGCGACCAACTTCATGCTGTTAAAATTTTGTGTTACAGTGATGCGCGCGCTTCTTAAAATTTCACTCTCATCATTTTTTCATAACGCGCCTAAAGAAGTATAACTTCAAAAACTATTTCTATTTTTCTAGTAATATTTTCTATAGATTTAAACATCATCATCACATGTGGGGCCGGTCGTTATAAACTTCGAGCACTCGTGTTCAAACTTCATGTTCATTAAGATCTGCCGCCATCTTGATCAAAATACGTGCGCTGCGTGTGACAGCTACTAACCGACTGATTGAGAAATTGCCCCAATCGCGCTACACACGCGGCAACGTGCAGGGCGGTTGGAACAATCTAGTGAGCAAGACTGGTCACGCGCTCCTGCCGCCCTGCCGCGCAGGCCCGATTTAGAAAATTGCCTCAACTTGCCTACACACATCAGAATTCAGGAGGCAATTAAGGGTCATCCCCATTCTTACACCCTAGATTGTCCCTGCGGCAGGCATGTCAGTAAGCGCTTTTAGATTAAATAAATTCTAGGTTGTTGCTGAAACCTCTTGGTAACATATAGAAACATAAAGGCCTGTAATGTTGCCGTCACGGACCAAAATTCTTGAGCAAAATACTACGTGCATGGTTACCATACACTTGAGATTCTGGTCCTTGCTTGGAGTACCTAGTAGGAAAATAGTACGTGTCATTCCAGAAGTGCTTTCGTGGCATCTTGGCGCCATTTTTAAGTATTTAATTCAATTGAATCCGTGTTTTCCAGTAGTTTCAAGTAGTTGTATGTATGTACCAGTCTCGGTGTTCTTTTCAAACATATTTAACATATTTACGATTTTATTTATTTTCTAAGCATTAACTGCTAGATGTTTAAATCTAAAGAAAAGTTTACTAGAAAAAAAATCCACGCGGACCAGGCAGCGGAAGGAACTCGAACCCGCATACTTCGCTATCCGGGCGAATGCACTGACCATTATGCTACCACGGCCCTATTAGCCGCGTCGAAATTTTCCTAGCCTTAAGCTGCAAGGCAGCGCCATCTCTTCGCATTGTAGATAACATATTTAACATATGATAAAATACAGTCGCTTTCCTTGTCTGTCTGTATATGCACATGTACTTGATTACTAGATTACTAGCAAACCAGTGAACCAAATGTTCACCAAAACCTGATTTAAAAAAAAATGTATTTAATTAATTGAGAACTTCGGAGATTTTGTGTGGTTTCGTTTGAAATTCGTGATTTCTCGAAAACCGGAAGTGCTACGTTACTCAAATCCGGTTTGTAGTCTTATCAGACTATTCTTAACTTATAACTTAAACATTCTCTTTATCTATCTCTTACGGTTTGGCCGCTGAAACAGCACCACAGACGGACGGACGGACTTGTCTAATAGATAAGAGAAGCTTAGATTTTGTTGCTGTTTTCACAATTTGCGGATTTTCCGTTTTGGGCATGATGGGCATGCCCACTACCCTAAAATATGTAACGTCCTTACTTTAACTTTTTCTGAAAGCGGGATGCTGAGTATACTTTACCTAACCACACAAAAAATCACCATGTGATTATTACATCATGAGAGAGAAAAATTTTAGAGTACCTACCTAAAGATGTTGACCTATTTATATTTACATACATCGCATGTACGGAAAAATCAGCATCTCTCTTTACAACAAAAAAGTTTTGAGTTAATGAAGAGAATACTAGGAGCTGAAACAATATCAGTCCCCAAATCGAGGCGCGGCGTAAAAGTGACCACAAAGAACCAAGTAAGTGTTTTTAGGTAGCCACAGAACACAGAAAGAGGTTAGAAGGGCCTTGTGGGCGGGGCAGGTGCGTTATTCGCGCGCGCTTTATATGTGAGCAAATGCTCATAACTTGACCAACACTTGGTTCTGATTGCGTCGTTGCTCTCGAGTCAGAGCGCTGATGATTGAGTCGATTCTTTGATGTCGCGTCGTTTGATTGGCTATTATTTATTAGGTGGAAGGGTAGTGGGGGCGAGCCGGCGACATCGGTTCCCGTACAAACGATTTTCACCCACCCTTCTAACCTCTTTCTGTGTTCTGTGTAGGTGGCAGTCTTTTGCTTTGAAGGCTTTATACCACTCGGGAACGGAAACTTAAAAATGATTCTGTCCTACGACTACGGGTGCTAAAGGTCAATGTTCATGAAAATTGAGGTCAACTCGCTGCGCTGGCCGCACCGCACCGTTCGTTCGAAACAATACATTTACAAATTTTTAGGTAGTTCAAATGCACCAGACGGACAGATATCATTCGTGAAAATTTTTGATGGTCTCAGTACTTATTCTAATATTGACATTGACTATTAACATACTGATTGTTAGATTCGTTGAATTTAATTAGAATTTTGTTTCTTTCGAATAATGGATAGTATAAATAAGTAACATGGCAAATATTAAACTAAAACTACACTAAAAATATACAAATATTAAAAATATTAAAAAAATAGCTGCCCTAGGTCGTCTCCGTCGGCAAAGGTGCCCAGGACGCTGGCGGCATTTCCCCGCTGAATGGCGAGGCTTATGCGCTGGGCGAAATAGCCGCCAGCTCTGCGGTCTCCAGTGGTCTCCACCAATCTTTTTGCGATTTCTTTGAAAAGATGGTGGGCACCGGAGCCCCAGGGTCCCTGAGTCTCGACTCCAAACGCCGCAAATGTGAAGTCTCCACTGAGGCAATCATACTTGCGGCGCTTAAGGGCCTCTGCGGTCGAAGCAGCCGCGCCAGCCTGCATCGAGGTTCCGGGAATATGTGACGGGGCCAGAGTGTCGACCCAGGTTGCGTCCCACACAAGTGCCCGTCCCAGCTTCCAAGGAACGAGTGTCATGCCGTCGGGCCTCTTACCGTCGTCGCGCGCCAAGCCGCTTGGTTCTAAAAATTATATTATTACATACTGATTTGATTTTGTGTTTTGTTTGAGATAGGTCCGATCGACTGCTAGTAGAATAAAAATAATATTTGATTTTCTTGATCTTGGTTCCAAATCAATAAAATATGATAATAATAATGACGTTCATAATCGGTCATCCGAAGCGGAGCGATTAGTGTTGCCCAAATTCAGTCTTGGTCTTGCAGTCTTGGTCTTGTTCTTGCATTTTTGCAAGACCAAGACCAAGAACAAGACCGCGTATTTTTAGCAAGACCATGACTGACCGTGCAAGACTTGAGCAAGACTAATCCGGCAAGACTCTTGCGTCTTGCAGTTAGGACTTAGCGCTATTTCACGGAGTAGTTAAGTATAATAGTTCGGTGTATAGGTACGCTTAGGAATTCTATGAGACGCAAAAAACTGTATCAAAAAATATGAAAAACTGAACCTATGCGCATTACGACCAGTACCATAAACATACATAGCAAATAAATGATAAATCGTAAAACTCTTTTATTAAATTTCATATAAGTTGAGGGTTCAATCTCTTTCTAGACAGATATTGTTCTTTAAAATACAGTCAAGTTATTGTAATTAATTTGTTTTTTACATGTTTTAGCACATGTAAGCTTATAAAGCGTAAATGTTTATTAAGAAACAGTTACTTCCATGGAAAACGACATATAGTTCAGTTGATAACCATGTGGCAGTTGATTTTTCGAATTTCTTATCAAATCTTCAGACATTTATTAATCTGATTGGTCTTTACTAGTGCTATGTTAATTCCAGCTCAAAATGTTCCATTTCTAATACGTTTTTCTAAGATCTAAAGTAAACTTTAATAAATAGCAATAGTCTAATAGGTAATTGCAAGACTCTTGCTGCAAGACCAAGACCAAGACTGGGAGCGCAAGACCAAGACCAGGTGTGTTGGCGCAAGACCAAGACCAAGATTGGCTAAGTTTCGTCTTGTTCTTGCATTTGGGCAACACTAGGAGCGATTACAGTGACGCAACTACTTTGTAAATAATTTTACGGTACACCAGATTTAAGAATATTGTTTTCTGTCGTTGGTATTGGTATTTTTATTTTGAACATTTAACTGTTAGATGTATAAATGTAAAAAGTTTTCATTATCTTTGTAAGAAGAATTTTCATTTAGACTTACGTTACACTGTTAAACCGTTGCAATCGATTTTGATCAATCAAGACAATTGTTTTCTGATAATTTGATTGGAACTAGAATTTGATTTTAAGGGTTCTGAAGTACTTGTTTCGCTATGTCCGTCGGTCCGTCCTGAGCTTAAGTTGTACGAGGACTACAAGGCAAAATACAATAAGCACCACCCTTTTACGGTAAGGTATAGGGGGATAGGTAGCTAAGCATAAAGATATTCTTCGTCCTAAGGTATGCTTGAGCTATTCATATCAGCCATCTTATGTATTAAAGATACATAGCACGGTTTAGGAAACACAGCGACTGACGAGACGAGTTAATACATTTTTGGTCACCCAACTACGCATCGTTGATAATAGAGTAGAGACAATGTGGCATTGACTTGTTACATAGGAGCAAAAGCTAAATATTCTTGGTGTAAGCGTCTTTCGTTGACTCTTGACTATATAATTAATATGGAAGTTACAATGTAAACCTAGTCCCCGTTATTCCAAAACGTGGACTAAAGTTAGTCTTGGTTTTAACCTAATGTTTTCTCTGTCCTCATTTTAACAAACAAAAGTCAGGTGGGGTGGAGTCATTTGTCGGACCTAACTATAAAAAAAAAAAAAAAAAAAAAAAAGTGAAACATCAGTTTAAGTCCAAGTTTAACTTTAGTCTACTTTTTGTAATAAAACGGAGTGAGTGTGCTCATTTACTGTAAGTAATTAAGCACTAAGTATGTGATATTTAGCCTTACAATTTATTTCACTAGAATAAATTATGGCCACGATCATTGGAACCGGTGCGGTGGAATCTATATTTACGAAAACAAATCCAGTAGGTAATTCTAATACAGTAATAACATCGCACCACATTAAAATTCTTTGTACTAAACAAATTTTATTAATGCGATTTTGCGTCAAATAGGGGTTACCCAACTGCATTATGTTATGTATAACAGTTCTGGTACGGGTATCTTAGCATACCACAAGTACCGTAATACTATTTTCATTCACCATTGGTTCGTACTTTTTTGGTTAGGTACTTCATCTTTTCCGAAGTCAAACGTGAGACGGTGTGACACCGCTCGGTGAATGCATGCGAGCTAGTGACCAAGCCAAGCCGGCCTATTACACAATACAACAGGCAGTGGCAGTGCCTCCTCAAACGCGCGTGAGTGATGCCGCATTTCCCGCGCATTTTGTTGCCATAGACACAGGAAGCGAAAAGGTAATTTAGTATTTACTAATCAAATGTTCTTCTTTTTAAGTGTGAACAAACCACTTTTGTTTTAAGAAATACAAGTTTAATTAATAACAATGTTGTCTGTTTACACACCTATTTTAAAAATGTTAATTTGAGCGGTTCATCAAACTTTAAAATGTAAACGTTTTATTTTAAAGTGATTTGCTGTGACAGTGACACTATAAATTCAATGTTCGTTGTACATAACTGAAACTATAAAAAATAATTATTATGGATAACCTATTAAATGAACCGTAACAAAACACTGCGTCTTCTTGTGTATTACGTGGTATTACTCACCTACTTTTTATGCGTTACACTTCGTCTATGAATGTGTGAGTATGTAATTAAACTTACATTCCACGCTAATACCTGATCAAGTTTGTTTGACTTTTCACGGGAACAAATATGGTTATTAATGATTATGAAGTAATTGGGTAGGAAATTCGTGGATTAGACGCGCGGCTGCGTCTTTTCGTTACGTACTTTGTGCATTGTGACATGTGACATTTCCGAAATGTCATTATCAAATCTATTCGAATTCGATAATGGTTCGTGCTGATTAAAAAACCTAATAAGATTGAAAAAAACCTACATATATACTATCCTCAACAATTGTTGAATTAATAATTAAAACATGAAAAAAACGCGTTGGTGGAAATTCAAATTTTGTGTTGTGTACTAGCTCGTTTAGATGTGATTTTATGGTTAATGTATGACTGACATGGAACCTTCTCTTATAGTGCTAACAATTAGCTAGTTTACCCTATATTGTAAATGTTTTCTTGTCTGGTAACTATTAATTTTATTCAAAATGATAAAAACGATATAGCCCACGGTTATTCTGATAAAATCGTAATAAATCATTGTTGATTTATTTATGTATTGTTTCTAACGCGCATTTTTTATAAAGAATAGTTTTTTTTGCCTGGCAGCTTTAAATTTTAGTTTTCTCAATTAATACTTTGGAACAATGGTAGGAACTACTAGTACAACTTGGAACAACTATAAAAATATAGAATTTCCAAACATGGGGGGCTATCTGCACAAAGGTTCCTTTTTTGTCTGACAGCTTCAAACATTTGTTTTTTCAAATAAAACTCTGGAACAATGTTAAGAACAACTAGAAAAACTTGGAACAACCAACGAAATATTGAATTTCCAAAAGTGGGGGGCTAACAAATAAAAAAAAAGTTTTTTTTGCTTAGTAGCTTCAAATTTTTGTTTTTTCTAATGAGACTCTGGAACAATGATAGAAAACAATTAAAAAAATCCAGAACAACCTGGATAATAATAAAATTCATAAAGTGGGGGGTTAACTTCCCTGAGGTGGACACATTATTGAGGATTTTGTGGCTCAGTAATATTAGGTACGACAAAAAATAACATGTAAAAGTGACCAACAGTCAACTCGCTTGCGTTCGGCCACGCTCGGCGCTCCCTCGCTTGCGAAATGTAAAAAGCCTAACAAAAACCGGACACCGATTATTAGGCCGGACACGTAATCAAAAAGCCTTACTGTGTCCGGCTTTGTCCGGACGCCTGGCAACGCTGGTATAGCCTGAAATTCGCATGCGAAACAGCTGTGATTCAATTTATCGTACGGTCTAGTAACCAAGTATTATTATCAATTCAAAATCTAACAATGGAGCATGTTTTAATGATGTCTACAATGCCTTGACATAGGTCACAGATTAATTAAATAATAATTTGACTGCGAATATAATAAAAAAACTCTCTTTGCTTTCCTTGATAATAAAGGATTCTGATAATATAGGGATTGACATAGATAACGAATTGGAATTTTCTAATTCGTTCGGTTGACAGAATAGAACAGTATCCCTAGCACGAACCAATATCGAATTCGTATCATTTGCGAGTTCGAAATGTCATTGTCAAATGTGTACTGATTTTTAGTTCTCGTTACGTAGTTTGTGCCGCTGCTGTTCAAGTTCCCATACAAAATTTGTCATTGACATTTCGGTTTGCAAACTATTCGAATTCGATAATGGTTCGTGCTAGGGGTACAGTACCCCTAGCACGAACCATTATCGAATTCGAATAGATTTGACAATGACATTTCGGAAATGTCACATGTCACAATGCACAAAGTACGTAACGAAAACTAAAAATCCAGTACACATTTGAGAATTTCGGACTCGCAAACGATACGAATTCGATATTGGTTGGAGCTTGGGGTACGGAACATCAAGGCGCGACAGACATACTAACATTAATTGAAATCACATTGTTGATGGCCGTTCTTTTCACTATTTGAGTGTTCCTGACAATTATTCTAAGAAGCTAATTAACTTTTATGTTTCGTTAAAATTGAGGCTGCCACTTTCTTTGCGATAGCAGTGGAATAAGACAACACGACTTTGATAAACCTCTGTCTGAGTGCGATCTTAAATTGTTGTTGGTTGTCGGATAAAAAAATTTGACCTCCGGTTGGTGCAACTTAGGCTAAAAGTAGATTTCACAATTTAACGAGAGTAAAACTTATTACATAGTACGTTTCCATTATCTTTATACTAAAATTCATCAATTGTTCAGCAGCCTGCGTGAAAAATGTGATGCAGAGTTAAGTGGTTCTGCCAATAATATTAAACTTAGAGAGCACTAAGAAAACTTATGTATTTAACGGCAAAACAGGTAATAAATAAAATATTTCTAACGCTCACATCACACCAATCAGCCTAGCCCCGAAGTAATATTGTGTTGTGTATGAAGATGCTAGCTAGGGTAACAGATAGAAATACAAACATGGTATATACTTGTCTACATATATAATTTATAAAAAAGCCATGATTTAAGCACAAATTTTCGTATAAATCATATAAACATTTGCTTCGTCGGGTTAGCACCTAGGTAGGACCTCTGAGGGATACCTGGAAAACCGGCGTACACACCACTCACATCACGGAGGTCGTAATGATATGCATAAACTATCTCCTGATATAGTTTATTTTAGTTTCATTCAAGGACCCAGTGATGACACGTGGGCTCCATTTAACCGTGACAACATTTCCCTTGGTTTAATTATAACGATCAGTCAGTAGTTACCTTCCTCACTACCGTACAACGTGAGTTCATACATTATTTTGGTTACCCAATTACGACATTCGAAAATTTTATGTGCTCTATTTATTGATGACGAATTTTTTCTACGTAGTAGTAAAGCACAAATGATATCTAGGTAAACCTGAAGAAATAGGAAGATTTGATATCCTGCTCAATTCAAACTATTATTGCCTAAAGTAATATCAGAGAGACATCGCCCTTTTTCGTATCACCAGCCTAATTTAATAATGTTCCCACTGCTGAGCTGCACGCCTTGCCCATGGCTATGATCAGAATCACTCAGGTAATATACCTACTTAACCTACTTTCGATAAGCGAAGCACGAAGTAGCTCGATTATAACAAAAACAATCTAAAATTATATCCTAGTCTAGTCACTCAACCCATGACTTTGCAAAATTTTGGCTGTACAATAAATTACCTTTCCAACTTGTTTCAGCTTACAATGCGGTGGTTAGCAGCTTTATTCGTATTAGCTGCGCTTGCACACGCTGATGAGACATGCTTGTCAGTAGACGAGGAGCCATACTTTCTCTTCGGCACCAAAACTGCTTATATCTTTGCCAACAGGGGCCTTTCTAACAACAACAGAGCTCATGAAATTCCAGGTAAGTTTTCTAACTTTATGGCCTGCGAGGGACTACTTTTGTCCTCTTGGAATAAGTGAAGTTTAAGAAAAAGAAAAGAATTACAGTAAAAAGAAAATACCGGGTTCATCCCTTTGAATCGGATAGAGCGCGCAATGAAGACTAAAGTTCGCAATGTGCGATGTCCGTTGCTGCGCCTAATCACATGAGGTTATTTTTCGGGCTCCCGCGTAAGTACGCGTTAGCAAATGAGCAGATCGAGAGACTGGACTGGACTGTTCCCGTTATCGGTTCTCAGTCTGCTCGGTTGTTCGGGGGACTTTTTGGACGCGGGATTTTTTATTCCTCACGTGCGTTACTGGATGTAGCTTTATTACTTAATGAAGGAAAAACGAAATGTATGAAATTTGTATTACCTAATGAAAAACAGGTAAAAACTAGTGTGAATGTAAAGGATAGGAATGTGGGCCTTGTAGACACCACAGTATTCTTAGTGATTACTTTAGATTCTTAGCTTCAATGGGGCCCACATATTGATAAATTGTCAAATAGACTCAGCTCTGCAGCATATGCCGTAATGAAGATACGCCAGTTAATGGATGTAGATACGGCCAGATTAGTGTACTTTAGTTATTTCCATAGTGTAATGTCGTACGGAATTTTATTGTGGGGAAATGCCGCCGACATTCAAACTATTTTTGTGCTGCAGAAGAGAGCTATTAGATGAACTTATAATCTTAAAGTTAAAGAATCCATAAGATATACGTTTAAATAATTTGACATAATGACGGTCGCATCACCATGCATATACGAAAATTTATTACTTGGAAGAAGAATATTAATTTATTACTAAAAATAGTGAAATACATACACATAATAATAGAAGTAAAAATAATTTAACTTTACCTGCTACTAGGCTCCACAAAATCAATAATTCGTTTAGAGGTCGCTTTTACAATAAAGTCCCAAGCAATATCCAAGAGTTAACCATAAATAAATTCAAAGATAGTGTAAAAAAGGAATTATTAAAAAAGCTTATAACAAAGTGTCGGATTATATTACAGACAAAAATGCTTGGGTTTGAACTGTTCCAATCATTCCAACGGGTTTTCTATATTAAATAAATCATGAATGTATTAACGTTGTAACAACATAATGATTTCTAAATGTTGTTACATTTAAACATTCTGTAGACCGCTCGTTTGACCGCAGTTTTTAAACGAGTCAAATCGCAACATTGTAGATACCATGCCAATGATTATGCCATTGGCATGGTATGCCCGACTATTATTTAATCTGTGACTAAACAACAGAACGAAAGTAGAAAAAAAAACATCATAATTTCAGATAGAACCGGTTTTAATTTTTTAAACGAGGATTTCCTACTCACTGTTTAATGTTGTTTATTCCTAATGTTATGAAATAACTTACATACAACCAATATAATCATTAAAATCAGTAGGTACTCATAATTTTGGGCCTGCTATACTGAATTTAGTAACTGTAAGTAGCAATTCCAAACAATTTTCTTTTGTATTTGAACCGCATGTTATCCCAAGATTTCCAATTTAATTCAATTTATTTGCATTTCAAAATGTAACAAGGTTGGAAGGTTGGTTTCCTTCAAGATGTTTGTGAATAGTTGCTAACTTTTGATGGACAACATTCGGAGATGAGATGGTTTATAAGATAAACAGACTAAACTTAAATGTTTACGAAATAAAGAGATTTTATCGATTTTGTTTCGCAAAAGTCTCCGAATATTAGCTTTTCATTAGAAAGTTTGGATGTTAGATCTGAGTCGCGGGCTGCGACTAATGGGACCATCTTTTTGTATACGAATAATCGATTGGGGTAGATATTACATATCTTTTATTGGTCAACTTAAACGACGGCTTAATGTAAAACAAGTATGCAAGCTAACAGTATTAAGTCATAAATAAATTATTGGTCTCGCTGCGCGTGGAGTATAGCGAGACCAATCATTTATATACACACATCAAAAGTGTCTAGGGATCAAGCATTTTTATGCGGATTTCTTGAGATTGAGATGTGGCTTTGTAATAAATTTATGATTTTATAAATTTATATGGATCCTTTTTGGTGCATTTCATAATTTGAATCAGGAACTGTGAATCAAATTCGAGTAAAAGATGAAAATCAGCTGTCAATATTTTCCCTATAAAAACATACAACGCATTGAAGACATTATTAGTGCTACTGTTTCCCTACTACTGATTAAAACCAACGTTATTATGGAGCGGCGACGTCATTTAAGCAGGGAAGAAATGCTCAGAGCCGTGGGAATGATAGAAGCTGGTTCCCGGCAACGTACTGTGGCTTTAGCTCTGAATACAAGTCAGAGTGTTATCAGTCGACTTTGGACACGATACCGAAGCACTGGTACCGTGGCTGAGCGCCATGGAGGACGGTATCGCTGCACCACACGGAGACAAGACCGATACATTCAAATCTTAACTCGAAGAGCTCCAACAATAACCGCCATGATGTTAGCCGTGAGGCTTCATCACTCTTCAGGGAACTTAATTAGCGACCAAACAGTCAGAAACCGCTTGCATGAAGTGAACCTTCATTCCCGAAGACCGCTACGGGTACCACCTATAGCAATGCACAATCGTAGGATTCGATATCAATGGGCTCTTGAACACAGAAATTGGGCAGAAGAACAATGGCGTTTCGTGTGCTTTTCTGATGAGTCTCGTTTTGGTATGAGACCGGATACAAGACGTATACGACACTGGAGAACCCCTGGACGCCAACAGCGATTAAAATCCTGCCAGGAAGTCCATCCTTATAGTGGTGGAACCATCATGGTATGGGCGGGTATTTGGATCGGCGGAAGAACTGAGTTGATTTGGATCAGAGGCAACCTCAACGCTCAAATTTATGCTGAGACGATTGTATCAGACGTCATCGTTCCTCTACAAGTGCAAATCGGTCCCTTATTTCAGTTAATGCATGATAATGCACGACCGCACACCGCAAGAGTTGTAAGACAGACTCTCGCCGCAGCTAACATCATGTCCTGCCCTGGCCTGCTCAGTCGCCAGACTTGAACCCGATTGAGCATGCATGGGATATGCTACAGAGAAGAGCTCTGCCGAATATGGAGGGTATCCAGTCGCAAGAAGACCTTTTTTTGTTGTTGCAACGAACATGGGCGGCCATTCCACAGCGTGATTTGGATGAACTCATTTTGAGTATGCCAAACCGATGTTCTTGTGTTGTTAGTGTTCGCGGTAGAAATACGGATTATTAATTGTTTAAGTTACCCAATAAAATTTTAGAGAAAACTGTTATTTCAGTCTTTTTTTCGAACTTTTGTGTTAGTGGTTCAAATGTCAAAAATCCCTTTATTAGGAAAATGGCAAATTTCTTTATTAATGCAAAGGTGACTTGGTTTATCGTTACTGTGACAAACGAAAACACTTTATTTGATGAATCCTTAAAGAAAATTTTAATTAATATCAATCAGGAGAAAAGTTATTGCAAAAATATATGTTGATCCCTAGACACTTTTGATGTGTGTATGTATTAAGTATATACCTAACTAGCGGCCCGTTCCGGCTTCCCACGGATATATTTTATTTAAGTTATATTACATAGGTACGATCTGGTAAAAATGGTTTCAAATCGGTGAAGTGGTTGAAAAATTGATTTTTACCCCTGGAGATCCCGTGTCCGTGGAAATAGCAGAACAGAAGTTGTACTTATTCTTTTACAATTTCAAACATTGAAGATTTCGTTTTGAAAATTAGTTAAGTGGTTTAAGAAACCGGATTTGACACCCGTGTCGTCTCATTCAAGTAGAATTGTTGGGAAAAATGTTGTTTTATTGTAAACCTTTACATTGGGCCATGACTTACAATGCGAGCCCAGTGCGAACAGGATATCCATAGGATAGAGGATTTGGTCATAACCAAATAGCGGCTTCGGTCTGCGATCGTGGAAGTTAAGGAAATTTCATAATTGAGCCATCGTGATCCTCATGTTCGAATTACTATATGATAATCAAGGGGTAGGTAGGTACATATTTTCAATAAAATTAAAATGCATTTTGTAAATAGTTATATATTTTAAATAAGTATATAATGAAAATTAGTATTTAACATTTCGGAATGTATTTGAAGTTAATCTTTTATCTGGGTAATACGTAATCACGAGTTAATGACAAATTGAAAACTATTTCATTTTCATATCGAAGATCCAAACCACAATACGAATTTTTGTCGTTTCTCTAGACACACCCACACATGCTCATTGAAAGCGACACAGACCGAAAAATGGCCTCGCTTTTTTTGTGAAAAACTCCGTCCATTTGGTAGTATGGCTATGATAGATATAGAAGAAGACATAGATACATATCTATCTATATTCGGTAAGTATAGATAACAAAATATCCTATAGATAAATATCTCATATTTTATTAAGTAGTAGTAAAGTATTATATTAAGCTTTTAACTGCTAGATGTTTCAATCTAAAGAAAATATTACTGGAAAAAAATCCACTTGGTCTAGGTTTCCACCCGGACATGTGGGTTCGTTTCCCATCTGAAACTTATTTAAACTCATATTTTTGTCTCAGTCACGATTTCGCGACATAGTTTGACTATTCAACTCCGTCAAATTTATTATTTGCTATTATTCTTATGAATACAAATTGGCATTGAACCGCGGTATTAGCCAGGCGGATCATTGTGGTGGGTCATTCCTCTCGTCTCATAGAGAGACGCCGTGATCCGTGAATGAAATATAGGCCTTCAGTTTATTATTTCTAGTTGAGTTTTAGATTACCCAAGTAAATTGCTAATTAAAAAAATCTATAATGTACCTAAATGTTGGAATTGGAATAAATGTCCTATGGATACAATTTGGCATCAACAACGCTGTGATCTGCTCGCCTCGCAGTCTCCATCTTATTTTGATGGAATAGGAGCATCGGTAGATCCGACTAATTTCTAGGATGCCTAAGATGCCAAAACCACCTTGAATTATTCAAG